TATAGTATACGGTATTATCTGTTGTTACAGATAATAATTCCGTTTGCCTCAGCTGTAAACACATTTATGGCCAGCTGCTTTGTTCCTAATGCATTGCAATTGCAGCTTCAGTTTTGAAGACATCTCCTTGTATTCATCAGAGGTTACTCAGTCTGTTATCTCGGACTGTTTGACAGCTAGGAACATATCTGTCGCTGAAGAACAGATGATGACTGTCGTTCTCCTCATACCCAGTTTCATCTCCCATGATGCCATAGTACCTCTTTGTGTTTCAGATGAAAATCCGCTTGTAAAACAGCATTTTTATTGACATATGGAATAAAATATGAACACATTAGTCCTCCATGTGTTATGGCAGGTGCATTTTATGAAGCAGCAGGGAATATCTTGGTATACGTAGCCTTACTTTGAAAATAATGGACCATATTTTCAAATAACTAGTCATTTGATTCTCAGAACAGAGGAGCTCTGTACTTTTAGAAGTAAAGGCCATTCAAATATGCCTTATTGGAGGTGCCCTAGATCAAGAAATATTGAGTAATTTTTAACCTTAGTTGGTCAAGAATATCTTCTGGACACAGCCAGCTAGTATTTCTGTGGCTCTTGTTAAAATCTCGTAAAGCAGGTTATTTTGTCTGTTACAGCAAAAGTACCTGAGTGATGTGGGAAACATGACTTTCTGACTGTCACCCTCCTCTCTGTCAAGATTACTCTTGGTTTATTTGTAAGATACACAGATGCTTTTGGTTCAGTTATGTAGTGTGTGCGTGTTGGATGTAAACGTGTGTGCGTATGTGGATGTGATGATTATTTCACCCTCCAAAACTAGTCATGATCTTTGTGACACACACAATAAAGTTTTATGTGTTGGATGATAATAGTGCATAAATGTATTGAAACTTTTTTTTCTTCAAGGCTTTAAAAAGGGTTGGAAAATCTGTAAATATCCAAGAAGTAATGGATCAGTGGACACTACAGATGGGTTATCCTGTTATCACTATCCTGGGAAATGAAACTACAGAAAATATCATAGTCATCTCCCAAGAGCGTTTTGTTTATGATAGTGATGTTAAACCTAAGGATCCTGCCCATGGAGACAACAGGTACTTATATTTCTCAATTAGTATCTTTCAAGAGGCTGTAATTGTTCAAGTAAGTGCTTTATGTGTGTATTTTTATGAAGATGGCTTTTCAGAAATCTGAGCTTTGCTTGGTATCAATAGCATGTGGTGACCCTTCTATTTGAAATGTAGTTAAGATAAGGCTAGTTAAAAGAATTTTAAAAAATTGGCCATTTGCATCCTGACCTCTGTAATGGCATCTTACATCACACATCTGTTTTCTCTCCTTTTCTTTTGATTTTGTCACACTCCATGAAGTAGTTTGAAATGTGGTTGGAAGGTCTGATATTTCTTTTTAAGAAATTCTTTGGAGTGGACCTGTCCATGCTCATATATTGAGTAGGCAGATGCAAATGTGGGTCAGATACATACCTTGCTTGACTTGGGAAGCAATCAGGAGCTGAACTGGACCTCTGTACAAGGCAAGGGGTTCCAGCTGTTCCATGTTGAAGCCAACTGAACTGGTCCTATAGGAATTGTTACTCTGGCTGAAATCGGCGTCTCTGTCTCTACCCTTTTTCCACTTTTGAGATTGTTTTGTTTCTGCTCCCAGCTGACTCCACACACTTCCCTCATCCCAGAGACAAGCTGACATTCGTGACTGCTTATGGAGAACCTCATTGTTTAAAGCAGTTTTGGCATTATATTTTAAGGCACAGAATGTAGAGCTGATACTACAGAATTGCAAGATAGCCTTTGAAGTTTCTCTGTTCGCTTGTTTATGTGCAGTGGGAAAGAGGGCACACTGACAACCTGGAACACCCTGTGTTTGTCCAGTAGATTTAAATTACTAAAAGGTAAAATTTAATACCAAATTTTGATTGACATGTCTGGAGCTTGCAGAATATTCCTGTTGAGGAAGGCCTAAAATTATAGTTCTCTTTATTGGAAAGTGTTCAGAAGTTCATTATCCTTTTTCAGACATGAATATTATGGAACTCAAGCATAACACAGAGTAAACAGTTGTTTTTCTGACTGTACTGGAACAACCTAGCAGGGTATTAAGCATCTGTTTAAGTTTTGGCCTGAAATTAGTTTCTTTGTGAAAAAGTGATAAAACAACTGAATGTGGAATGTTGAAGGTGGTCATGACTCACAGTTCAGTGCAGCAGGAGAGAAATTCTCTGGGATTCACTTGGAAATTGCTTTTGTGCAAGTGTTTGTATATGTAATGTAATGTGAGTGGATTTTACTACTCAGAAGAAGAGTATTAGTTTTTTGATTGACTGAAGCAGGTATGTTAAACCTTTTAAGCATTGTAGAGACTTTCCTAAATAGATTTTCTAGGTATTGAGTATTGATTGCAATAACTGTTGCTGTAATTCATGACTAAAGACTACTTGGTGTGTAAGTGATACCAGGGGTGATGTGGTGGATTGGCCCTGGCTAGATGCCAAGTGTCCACCAAAGCCACTCTATCACTGCTCTCAGCTCAGCTCAGCTGAGAAAAGGAAAATATAATGAAAGACTCATGGGTCAAGATAGGGAGAGATCATTCACCAGTTACCCTCATGGGCAAAACAGAGTCAACTTGGCCAAAAAAATATAATTTATTACTAATCAAGTCAGAGGAGAGTACTGTGTAAATAAAACAAAATATTAAGACAACTTCCCCCTGCCCCTCTCTCTTTCTGGGCTCAACTTCACTCCCAATTTTCTCTACCTCCTTACCCCCAGCAGTGCAGGAGAATGGGAATGGGGCATGTGGTCAGTTCATCACATGTTGACTCTGATGCTCCTTCCTCCTCTGGTGGGAGGCTCCTGATACTCTTCCCCCCTCAAGCATGGTGTCCCTCCCACAGGAGACGGTCTGTCATGAACTGCTCCAACATGATTGAGTCTTTCTCGTGGGCTGCAGTTCTTTGCAAACTGCTCCAGTGTGGGTCTCTCTCACAAGATACAGTCCTTCAGGGACAGACTGCTCCAGCATAAGTCCCCTGTGGGGTCACAAGTCATGCCAGCAAACCTGTGTGGGCACCTCTTTTCAGGATAGGTGCAGATCCTGCCAGGAGTTTGCTCCAGCTTGGGCTACCCATGGGGTCACAGCCTTCTTTGGGCACCCTCCTGTTCCAGCATGAGGTCCTCCACAGGCTGCAGGTGGATCTTTGCTCCCCTGTGGGCCTCCATGGGCTGCAGGGGGACAGCCTGCCTCGCCGTGGTCTTCATCACAGGCTGCAGGAAAATCTCTGCTCTGGCACCTGGGCTACCTCCTCCCCCTCCTTCTCCATGGACCTCAGTGTCTGCAGGGTGTTCCTCGCACATACTCTCCCCAGTTGCTCTTTCCCAGCAGGTTTTTCCCCACATTACCCCAGAAGCATTGCCACTGTCACTGATGTGCTTGGCTTTGGCCAGCAGAGAGTCCGTCTAGGAGCTGGCTGGTATTGGCTCTGTTAGACATGGGGAATGTGTCTGGAAGCTTCTTAGAGAAGCCACCCCTGTAGCCCACCCTACTAGCATAACCTTGCCACGCAAACCCAAAATGGGAGAATTAGACTTAGTTTTATTTTCATATGTGACATTAATTCCTAATTCAAACAGTATCTTGTGATATGTGGAATGGCAGCGTTCTACACCAGCAGGACAAGTTCTGCTGTGTCACTTAGGAGATTTTATACACAGATTACCACAATTATTATTTATAAGCATTGGACATAAGATTTAGTGCTATAGAGGGCACAGGAAGATATCAGTGTGAGCCCTGACAGGAATTTAGTGTCCTAACAGGCAGTACAATGCATATGTGCAAGTCATTTTACCCTTCTCTCCCTGCTTTGGATTTGTTTTTCCCTGTGCTTCCTTGTCCTTTTAACCACAAATGGTAAGGAAATCCCTTGCCCAAGGAAAGCTTTACAGATGGGTTCATTACTCTAGCCAGTTAGAAGACAAAACTAATTTGCCTTTTCCCAGTTGAAGTTATTTGAAAGTCATGTTATCTAAGTATAAATACAAAAGAACAGGAACCATATACATTTAGCAAAAGGTGAAACTTGCCTATGCCATTCACCTTTCAAAAATCGTCCACCAACCTATATTAGACTGCTATGGCTTAGTTATAAATTGGTGTCTAGGGTGTTGTAATACTGGCCATGCAATTCATTTGTGCACTGTGCCTACAGGCACAGGTGGCTAGGTATGCACAATGGCTCTGTGGCATTAATGTCCTTTCATAGCATCAAATTAAGTAGAAAAACAAAACTGGCATACTGAAAATAAATTTAATCTTTTAGCTGGCAACAACCTAGATATTTTTCAGGGTTTTTTTGTGGTTTTGGAGGTGTTTCTTTTCCATTGGAATAGTCACTATTGCTTTAGTTATTGTGAAGGCAGTAGGCAGGGAAAATCACATTAGTGTGTGGTCATTTGATAATTCATGATGCATTACTCTACCATGATTTTTAATATTGAAAGAGTTGAATTTTCTATGACATGATGCAAAGAGGTCACTTTCTCTACAGGTACACCAAGAGGGGCGATAACTGGAATGGTAACAGCACATTGAGAGATGTTAAGCACTATTGCACAATGCAGTGTTCTGGCTGATTCTGCAGGTGGCTTTGGTCATGGAGTTGGCAAGGGTTTGCTGATGATATATATATATATATATAACAACAGCATGCAGGCTTTGGGGGTGTTCCGTATCAGTGGCCTAATTCACAGTCCAGTAAAGCTGGTGCTCATCTCCCCTGCATGACCCGTGAATTTAGGTGTTGGACGCATGGCTCCCTGGGGAACTATTATAGGCACTGTGAATAACAGGGAGCAAATGGTATTTATGCCACGTTTGAGGCCATGCTCTTGCAGGGTAGGCAACATTGGCTTCCTTAGGGTAGTTTATCTATGGATTAATCGTGATGATCATTTTAAACACCGTCAAGAGTAGAGCTGCACAAACCAGAAAAGTGTAGAGGTCCAGGCCTTTCCAGGAGTTTATCATCTAAACAGACAACACAGTATGCACTGGAAGGCTCCAAGGAAGGCTCTTAAGCATTCATCTGCCATATAGTCTTTAGTTATCCAGAGGTGGGGCTGTAGTTTGGTATGGCACAGCAATAAATGTCAATTCTATTGCCTTCAAAATGATGAGAAATAAAAGTTTCTTGTTTAGATGGTCTCTGTGCAAGTTTAACTTTGCCTTACTTAGAAAGAGACACTTCAGAGAAGGTCTTTCAGATGTATCTACTGCATAAGAAATGTAAAAAGGCAACTGAAGAACCATTCTAGTTTTATTAAATGTCTGTGCTTTTCTTTATTCTGTGTATGCAGCAATTAACTGTTAAAAATGAAATGTGAAGTCTCATATTTAATTTTTCTCTCTGAAACCTATAGAGGAATATAGAAGCAGGAAGCAGATTTTTCTAAGTGATAAATGGTAAAAATGAAAATTGTTTATACTTTGGCAGTGGTTGATGCCTAGTCCATTAGTGTAAGTGTCTTCTTCTGTTTTCTTTATTCTGTGTATGCAGCAATTAACTGTTAAAAATGAAATGTGAAGTCTCATATTTAATTTTTCTCTCTGAAACCTATAGAGGAATATAGAAGCAGGAAGCAGATTTTTCTAAGTGATAAATGGTAAAAATGAAAATTGTTTATACTTTGGCAGTGGTTGATGCCTAGTCCATTAGTGTAAGTGTCTTCTTCTGCAGAAGAGACAGTGGTTGATGCCTAGTCCATTAGTGTGTCTTCTTCTACAGAAGAGAATGATTACATATAGTTGATTTTCTAATCTCATATATACTTGAACTCATTGTCTTTATACCTGCAGAAAAATGTGTTTCTGGAGCCATACATATATAAACTGTGATTTATTTCTGTGCATAGAATCGACTGTATGGCATGCTAAGCTGTAACATTTGGCCTGAAATTATAGAAGGTATACAATTTCCCTCCTTTGCCAACTGAACATAGATTTTACTTGACACTTACGCCCTCAGATGATCCATAGTTCTTATTTTATGAGAAAATAAAACTAACAATGACAGACA